AGTCCGTTGAACTGTCTACATTGTGATGTTCCTTTGTTTTTATGTTGGTTTTCGTTTAGGATCTATCAGTGTCAGACCCAGTTTCTGCTCCTGTGTCTGGAGAGATGTAAAAGAGAGCTGTGGATCAGGAAGAAACTCTGTTTTCTTCAGAAGGAAAATAGAGCTTTTTACGAATTTATATGTATTTTTTTAATAAAATTCTCTGGTTTTGTTCCGAGGCCACCTTGTCTCAACCCATTTCCAAAAAATTAGAAATCCTGATCGCGTCGGGACCAATTTCTCAAATTTCAAAATTTCTGANTTATCTTTTATTTGTTATTATTTTATATTAAATTTTTCCAAAAGCGTTTATTGACAAGTGGAAGACAGATTCCTCTCGGTTGGATGTTCCAAACGCTCGTCTGAGGCAGTTGAAAGGTTGTAATGCATTGGAAATAAATATTCTGTTCTTGTTCTATTTCTTTCACGTGTTAACATGGTTGGAACCATGATTATCTGTTATTTGAGGCTATCAAGGAACATGTGCCGTGATTGTTGTGATACCATCAGAGGTTCTAGGACTTGGATTTCAAAGGTAAGTCTAAATATAAATAGTCCGTTTCTTTTATATCATTCACTGTGATTTGTCGTTCTGAACCTCCCACCTTACCCAACCAAGGGATTGAGTAGCAGGTTGTTACGTTTTGTTGAATTCCAGTGTTTCTGTTTCAGACGTTCCGGCAGAACAGTCATCTACTACTGCTTGATAAAGGATGTCTCCAGCGACTATTAGGTTCATAGCTTTCCGCGCTAATGAGGAGACTTGGAAGTTGATCGTACGTCTTAGTTGTCACTTTTTCAAATTTATTATTACATTTCCAGTGGGCTCAGATATGTTCCCTGTTTCTTTGTCTTGTTCAAAGTTCCGGAAGTGTATGAGCAGCAGGTAAGATCTCAGTTTGAGCCGAATGTAATCACGTGTCTTTAGATTTACAAGAAGAAAAATTCTGTTGCTGTTGGTAGATGAGAGGAACAACGACGATAAAGCGCAAGAATCACCTTTTCTTTCTCCCAATGCACTATACTGCTACAGGTTAGATCTTCATTCGGTTTTTTCAGTTGATGAGTTCAGTAGAGGCGGTGGTTCATCATTTCTTCCCACGAGATCAAGTATACAATGGTTGTGATAGGAGCAATTCATTGCTTATAGTTAGTCTTCTGATATTCATGTTTGTCTTATTTCAGGGACCAGTTCAAAAAAAAAATTATCTGATTTGGACCAG